AATGTGTTTGGCAATTGAATTTGCTGAATCTCAGAATGGCTAATGTTAAAGGGGCCTCTGGAAAATGCCTAGTCCAACCTTCCTGCATAAAACACAAGGCAACTCAGAGCCTGCCTCAGAGAGCAGTTTGCGCAGTACCTTGGTCCAGTTTTTAATCCCTCAAGGGTGGAACCTCCACAGCCACCCTGGGCAACCTGTTATAATGTTCAATTATTCTTAAAGGACAAAAGCCTTTTCCTTATGTTTAAATGGGATTTCCTGTATTTCAGTCTGTGGCCATCACATGCCTCTGTGAGTGCGTTAGAATGAGTCTTCAGTTTGTATTACGGACACCTTACCTCAGTTGTTCTCTATGTGTTGCATTATTTTCCATTTTTAATCTTTTCTGGAAAAGACAAATTAGGATTGTGTGCCTTTCACAGGATACATAAACTTTTCCTCTTTTGTTTTAACCAGAAATGATATTAATGTCATGTTCTAGGAGTTGCGGTCATATATTTGTGGGTGGGATCTTCTGCTGTGAGGAAGCTCTTTGTTCATACTTTGAACAGCAAAGTTGCTGTTTGTCAGAAAATGTACCTGCGGTGCATTTTCTCAGAGAGATTACCCATGTGACTTGCTGTGATGACAGCATAGAGTTTATTTGCACAAATCAGACCACTGGTTGGAATACCATTAATGTTTCTGCATGTGCAAAACTGTAAAGATGTTTTGCAGGAGGATAGTCGAAGACCTTATACTCCATTTCAGTTGTAGTAGTTGTAAAATTTTGTTCTCTTTATAGTGATTCTCTTGTTTTGAATAAAGTCTTTGTGGCCTTTTCTGCGCTAATCTCTTTTAAGCAGATATGAAACTGTTAACCAATGCTAGTGTCAGAAAAGAGTGTACTTTTTGGATAAGACCTTATGAATATTAGAGTGGTGGTTCATATTGGCATAAAAGCAATGAAGGAAAATACAGTCACCTCCAGTAGTCAAACTAAAGAGGAGGCAGGATTTGACAAGCCTGCATTGTGCTGCTGGAACCTTCCTGAAATTAATTCCAGAACGTCTCTTCCCTTACTCTGTGTAGTTGGTGTCATATTGCAGATACACTATGAACACTGAAGGTAGTTTGTTCTGGGAATGGTGGCTTGCTCTGAGTATGTGTTTCTTTGGAGTGAAATTAAAATATTTTTCTCATCAACTTCTATGTCATTCTAAACCACTGATTTCTGTCCAGCAATTGCATTGCAATTTTTAAAAGCAATTTGGAAAGACAGTGTTGTTTCAAAATGTTTTTCATTTAATTCAGAATACTGGGCCAGCTGATCCCATCAGTGGATTTGTTCCTCCCAAGGTCTTTTAATATAGGTTGTTGAAACTAATTTGTATGTGTATTTTGGGAGGATGTAACAGAGCTATTTGTGGTTTTAGTTCCTTCATGAATAACTCTATTAAGCTCTCTCCAGATAATTTCTCTGAGAAAAATATTTCTCCAGGACTGCAGCCAAGGTTATGTATGATCCAAAAATCAGTTATCAGCATATAGTAGTAAACATGTCATAGCTAATGCAGCATGGAAAGGTGCTAGCAGGAAAGGTAAACAAGATGATGTCTGCAAATGTATACTGCTGGGTACTGTCTTTAGTGTCAGAATTTATGCTAATAATGTTGATTTACTGCACCTGGCGAGCCAGCTGGTCGGGATCCAGGATGGCCTTGAGTAATTCACTTGTCACATGAATTTGAAGCATCTGTTGTTTTTTCTTTTATGACCATTGTGTTTGGTTCATCAGGGCTTTTTGCTTTATCATTAACTATGAAAATCATACAAGTAATAGTATTCACCTCCTATCTTACCTTCTCCTCACCTGAAAGCTCTCACAGCAAACCCACTTTACTTGGCTTCAGCTCCATCATTCACTTCATTGAACATTTCTAGATTGGGCAGAGGCTGAGTCTTAGGACTTCTTTCTCTGTCTCCATTCATCCAGTGGTTATGAATATTTGCCTTCTTGACAGCTTGAAGATGGTTAAAGTACTACATCTGTCAGCTCTCTTGCCAAAATGTTTCTCTAAGGCATGTTCCAAGGATCACTTGAACACATTGTTTTTTAGTATTATTATTTGTTGGTATAACTTTAGTTTCTCTAAATGGGACAGGATTGCTCCATGGTTTCCTCACATTCAAATATAAAACCACTTTTAAAAGCTCTTCCAGGTTGAAGTAATATAATTTATAAGACAGTTGTGTTTATGGAAGTAATCTCTTCCTTGGGAAGACTATTCTTTCATTTTTTGTCCCCAGTCTAGTAATAATCAATATTGCTGAATATTGATATTCAGAAAATTATCATACATAAATCCTGAGCTGTAACACTTGAGAAGTAGAATTCCAGGAGAGGTACTTTGA